AACGCATCAGCCAATTATCTGCATTCCTGGCTTATACTTCACCTCAAAGTTATATTTCGCAAAGAACGATAGCCATCTAGCCATTCTCTGCGAGAGGTGAGGCGACTGAGCCGCAGTGCGTAGTGACGCATGATCTTTGTAGGTCACGAATGGCTTGGAGCCGAGCAGGTGGACCTTGAACTTGACAAGTGAATACTTCATTGCAAATAATTCCCTGTCGTGGACTGGGTAGTTCTACTCTGTTGCCTTAAGCTGACGAGATTCGAATGCGATCACCCAGTCTCCCCCCCGGCGTCTGATTACAGTAGTGCACAGCCGATGGCAAAGTCCGAAGCGTCACAGCCGACACTAAAAGTACGATCGAATTTTGAAAAGCCAGTTTTGACGATTGAAGGAGGCTGTTTTTGACCCTGTCAAAAGCCTTCTGCTGCTCGGTGTTTCTACACCTTTCTGCATCCTTCTTAAGAAGATTCGACAATGGCCTTGTCATTTCCGAATAACTCGCGCTATAATTGTACAAGTAGCTGCTCGATGTTCCAACACTATTCCGTATCTTTCTTAAGAAGATTCGATAATGGACGTGTCATTTCTGCATAATTCGCGCTATAATTGTACAAGCAGTTGGCAAGGCCAAGTCACTTGCGAAAGTCCTTTTGATTCTTTGAAACCGGCCAACCTTGACCTTAGTGGGATTCACTTGAAGGCCACGCTTCCCGATAAAGCACCCTAAAGGAAGGGATTTCTTCAGCGCCGAACATGCACTTGTCTGCATTAGCATACAGCTTGTTTGTGCGCATGGACTCGAGCACCGCTCTTAAGATGGCCGTGTGGTACTCTTCATCCGTCTTCCCGTCTTCCGCACGATTGTGGACGAAAATGTCGTCGAAGTTGTGTCTGTGCATACGCCCTTGAGGCCTGAACAACTGCGTCACACGACGATTAAGTGTTGCTGGTGGGCTGGACAGCTTTTGGAGCATTACCAGCCAGGCTGCTCGGAGTACTCAACGCTGTCGGCGAAATATCACTCGCTTCCAAGAGCAATTGGTAATACCCATTGATCAAGTCCAGTGTGCTGCAATTTGTACATCCAATCATGTTGATTTGGAGAACGTCCTTTTAAGAAATTGGCGTACGTCCGAAATGGTGGCATCATTAAGCTTATTGTAAGCGTGAACGATACGCCACTTGCCGTTCGGGTATCGGACACAAGACGCAGGAATGGTGCGAGAGAGCAAGTTTCCTAATTCGAGATTAGGAAACTTGCTCTCTCGCACCATTCCTGCGTCGTGCTTCGCACAGAAAAAGGTGTTAATGACGTCAAACTTTTTTGTAGGCAGGGGCCATTGGTGTGTCACGCAGCATTTGATTCCCGGAGCCATGTCGATATCATAACACACCTCGGTCAGGAGGTAGGACCGATGGTGGGCGTTTGGAGACGACGTCTTATATTTTTTACCGGAGGATAGTACGGCTCCGAGGGATCCTTCAGTATCGATAGTTCACTTGGTGCGTTCAGCACCCTCTTGGTGTTCTCCAAGACACCTACTCCAGACGCGACGACGGGTTAATCTCCTCGTTAGGTCGTGTATTGATCACCTCGGCTGAATTGCCTGCCTTCAAGGCACGGCCAAACTCTTCAGAGGACATCTTGTCCAGCTTAACAAAAGCATCCACCGCGGGAACAGCCTCGGGGGTGATGTCGCCGTCTTCACCCCCGTCATACCGCTGACGAGGGTGTATATCTGTGCGATATCGTTTACGGTAGACACATTTGGGTCAGGGTCGATGCCCTGCGTCTTGCAGCTAGCATTCGGCGTTGCCGTCTCCTTTCTACAGAGGTTTGAAGTCTCGTTGAGTACACGCACTCGGCGTCGTCCAGTGTCCCCACTTCCTTCTTCATCGGAGCCTTGATATTATTGACAACATCCGACGAAGAGCTGCTACTTCTGCAGTTTTCGTCCAGTGGATAACTTGCCACTCCACGCGCTCCAGAAGGACCTTGCCCAGATGTCTCGGACCTCGTCCGATCATACCACTCTTGGCATGCAGCAACCGCTTCGGAATTTGGACAGTGCTAGGTGGATTACGTGACACTCCACATGCATCACTGGGGCCACGCCCTCGATGCCTCGGATCTCGTCCGACCATGCCACTCTTGACATGCAGCAACTGATTTGATACATGTGTTGTGCTCAGTGGGTTACATGTCACTCCACGTTCAGCTAGCGAGCCTTCCTCGGGACTCTTGACCTATAGACTCTTGGTGTTTGACAACTCGGATACTCCGATATCCAGCACATTGACCGTCCAGCGCCCGCACCAATAGTGATTCTGCTTCCTAGCAGAGGTGGGTTCATTACTCGCCAAGGCTCCACCAAGAGACGTGCGCGTGAGACCCAAGGTTTTCTACCTTAGATTTTTCATGGCTCACGGTGTTCCAGCCGCGCCATACCGAGGATAAAGTCATACATTGAATCCAAGCCTAAGACTAAACCGCATATCAGGCTTCCGAAGTCAAGAAACTTGACACCGAGGACGACAGGGTCCCTCAGCACGGTAACACAAGTCCCCGTCGTTAAGCGAACAGCGAAGGTGTCACTCAACCGATTTTTAGCGCCTTATTATACAGCTGACCTCCTTTTAGGGTGGAGCGTCAAGCATAATAGCCGACGCCTCGGAATCGGTCAGGATCTTCCATGGCTTCTCATAGCCCTTCACGGTCGCTTTCACGACAAGCAAGCCCGCCTTTCATACTCGCTTCTTGTTCAAGAGCAGCGAGCTCTTCGTGGCTGGGCCTGGCTGCCCCTAACCTCTTTAAAGCTCAACAGCACTCAGTTTCCCCCCAGCAGGGCACCCCGCCCCTACTGGGTGTTGTCGTTCCCTCGCAACACACCAAAATGGTGAGAAGCGGCACGTCGGTTCGATGAGCCTTGACACGCCTTGCTTAAAGGACAAACAGTTCGAAGGTGACGGGTGTCTCCACAGACAATACACCATCGGGTGTTCGAACGCTGCCCAGCAGCTCGGAGCTCTACCCCCTCTTTCTCAGCATAGCTGAAATCCATTGGATGATGCTCGCCCGACGAGCTATGAGATTGTGCACTCGAACCAAGGTGTGCCAATTTGGAGTTGAATTTGCAATTTTCTTTCAAATTCACCGCTTTTTCAAAATAAGGTGGATGCTCACAGAAGATGTCCATTCTAACCACGGGGTCCTCCGTAACGACGGTCACTGTGACCGCCTCGGGGAGAGGATCGGCTGCCATCCCCGCAATGAGACTTTGCTACTCTTGAACAAATTTAACCAATTCTTTCTTGCTCTGTCGGACGGCAAGGAAACGCGATCGCACGCGTTATGACTGGTAACGCGATCGCACGCGTTATGACTGGTAACGCGACGAGAACGCTCGTAACAGCTGCAGCTTCAGCTCCGTCCAGGAGGGAAACGCCACTTGAACCGAAGTGCTCCACGTCAGTGCCTAATCTCGCGCTCGACCATCGAGCTAGGAGATAGCTAACGGCACCCACTTTTGCTCGGTCTGGAGCATAGCGGATGCCATAGCATCTCTCTTCTCTACCCAGATCAAGAGATTCTTTCCATCTTTACCATCAAAGGCCTTACGAATATTATCAGCGGCCTGGGTCTTGAGGAGTCCTCCATCGTCAACGGTGGCGTCATTGACGCAGTTGACGCCGACATCTTCGCTGAAGGTGCTCTAGCAGAGCACTTTTATAACTTGAAACCGTCTTTATGCGCGCGTTTATCTATTCGGGTACTTGCGAAGCAAGGTTTTCAACACCCTCAAGTTCAACCAAAGACATCAGCTTTCTTAGTCCATTCTGCATGCCTGGGGTAAATAGAAGAACTACTAGGTCCTCATCGAGGATCAGTCATAACCACTCAGATGTAGATTGACTTTAAGTGCTACTAGTGCAGCGGGACTGCCGTAGCTCTTTGCCTCAGAGGAAGCTTACTAAGGGTACCGGCCTTACGTTCTATACTAGAACCAGCATGAGTGTAGCGGATCGGAACCCGCTACCTCATAGAGTATCCGATACCTTAAATCGAGGCAAATGTACTCTCCATTCAAAATTAAGCTGAATTTATCTGTTTTGTTCGCGGCAGAGCCGCCATTATATAAAACCTCATATTTTCTATTAAATTGTAGAACCTAATTAATATGCCTAACTACTGGTAGTCCCGACACGCAGTGGCTTCTCGTTACGATGTAGCCAACACCATTTAGTGATTACATCAAATTGTGTAATCCATACCTTTGTACGGTCACACCATCTTGTGTGACCAACCCTTTCATACCAGGGTACGTGTAACCCCGTTATATGCCTCGGGTTAGGTTTTGGGAACTCTTGGAGTGAGCGGATCGCAATCCACCACACTCATACTGGTTCTAGTATTGAACGTAAGGTCGGTTACCTTAGCTTAACTACTTCTAAGCAAAGAGATACGGCAGCTCCGCTGCGGTTTGCTTGAACTTGACATTTCCCGCGAGAAAGTCTCGGTTGGATAGTGTTTTTTTCATTTCAACTAAGAGAAGGGGACATACAGAGCGCAGATGGGAGGTGCTGCCACAGATATAGTATTTGTGATTACCACAAAGCTGCACGGCAGATGAGAGACCATCTTCTTTCTTCACAGCTTGAATGGGGTCTATCGCCGCATGTGCGATTGTAGAGCTTTTACCCCCTGCACTCTAGCAAAACCTTCCAGCACAAGAGTTGACCTCAGCAACCAGTGAATACGCAAAGCTTTCTCTTGAAAGGTGTGGCGGGCCCAAAAGTATTCAGTGTAAGCCCAATCGTTTAATGACCCTACATGAAGTTGGTACTGCCACCTCCCCCGAGTGAAGATCTGCCATCATCGCAGAAAGAAAATTTCCAAAAGCTGCACCGGGCTCGCCAATCTTCACCTCTCCTGGCGGGTGACTTAGAATTGGATTGCAGGTAATACGCCTGGAAAGGCAGTGCTATCATATGCAACATTATCGCTTCCTTGTGAGAGTGCCACTTCCACTAAAGTACTCCACAATGGCTGATTTTGCGCGCGACTCCCTAGCTTTCATCCCTACCCCGCGAAGGGCATGGCGCGTAGCAAAAGCGGATTTACGGTTAAGGCTACTTCTAATCCAACGAAGCCTTGATGAGGCTTTCTGGCGAGGATCATCCAAGAAATTTGTTGGTGAAATCTTCGAGGCATGCGACAACCGCTTTCGACAACTAGATCGCTAATTGCGCGCTCCCCTCGATATAAGCTAATTACGGATATATCATCCGAGGAAGTGTGTCTTTTGCATGAAGACAGATTGTTGAACACTCCTGTGATCAAACATCATTTAGTACAGACTTATTCAGACTCGTTGTCGAATTGACGAATAGTGCCATCAACTTCAAAAGACCTCTCACCAGAGTGGATTTGACTAAAATAACCGCTTGAGCAAACGCACAAAGGACTGATTTTTTCGCTTCTCCCAGAAGCGAAATAGAGAGCCTGTAAAGTAAATGCTTAATTAGTGACGCATATTCAGAATTTGGTTAATTTAAACAAATCTAAAATATGTAATTCTTACCTACTGTAATGGGCTACACTTAGCCATTACATGACGGTACATTGATGTACCTTCTTTATGCTTTGTTGGAATAAACAAAAGAATATTACATTATGGTGCATACGTGATTTCGTATTTGAAGTCACATACATTCTATGTAAGTGAGATTGTTGGTAATCTGTACTGGTGATGAGACCGACGTGTCTCTGACTTGAGAAGTGGATGGCGTAAACCAGTGTCTTCTACTGAATACCTTCCACGAAATTTGAATCTCAAGTTTTCAAAGTCGGTAGTTCCTTCTACTGGATACCTTCAACGAAAGTTGAAGCTCAAACTTTCGAAGTCCAAGCTCCGTACACCCATAATCTTTTTCATTAGTTGATGATGAGTTTCAACCACCCTTAATTTGTAGATCAGAGATCCCAGGTTTTATTAGTTTAAACCTCTAGTAGCCCTTGGGGTTTTAATAGTAGTGAGGAGCTAATATTCATTTTGGATTCAGCTGCAAATTTACCTTCAAGGTATTTAGTCGTTCTTCTTTCCTTCAAGTCGGTACTGTACTTGCAGCGGGGCTGCCGTAGCTTTGCGCTTAGAGGAAGATTAATTTAGGTCACCGACCTTAACTTTTTAACAGGAACCAGTACGAA